TGCATCGGTATGTGCAGGTAGGCCCCGCTTAAGTCTAGTGGGGCTAGCCAGTCAAAACGGTGGATGGAGAGAAGAACCCTGAATGGTGTCTCCATGTGGAACCGATCAAGGAGCACGTACTTTTTCAGTCTGCCTAGGTCCAGAACTGGACGCCTGCCACTTGTAGATTTGGTATTACGAACACATTTGGCTAGAAGCCTGGACTTAGTTCCGGCTGTTGTACCCTGTGTATGGTGTCTTTCCCAGCAAACTGCTACTTCCTGTCTCATTGAGTCCCCTGGCAGTGCCCAACAGGGGAGACACTGACGGGAGGAAATGGAGATTTCAGGTCTGGTCTAGGAGGCTGGTGCGTTCTGCCTCCAAGGTCTCCAGAGTCCTGGGCATGCATAATAATGCGCTCAAGCAACTCTGCCCTCAGGGCTGGAAGTGTCGTCTTCAATTGGCAAAGACACCCATGGAACACGGCTATCCCCCTTTGCCCGGTTTGCCAAATTCGTGGCACCGGGATCTGGGGAAGGAGCCTTGGAATCCGGTTGGGGGCATTTTGGTCTCATCCCACGCTATGGGGTCTGATCTCAAAACCACACCGACCGGGTAGCGTTTGGTCCAGTGGGAAGTGTTGCCTAAATGTTATCCCCACCCAGAGGCCTTAAGCATTACATCCTCCGCCGCTGACCAATGCCGCCCATCAACACTGTTTGTGTGCTCTACGCCCCACTCCGCACTCAGACGGACAGGGAGAGACGTGGTGATGGGGTTGCTTTGGATCCCGACGCCCATGATCCCATAAGCGTTGAAGCAACCTTAGGTGGTTGCTTTAGGATCAAGGGTGGGGGTATCTACATTGTATCACTGGGATCGATGATACTCCGCCTCACCCCAAAAGCGTGGCTCACCGAGTCATACAGATGGAAGACTCTGAGGGACCGCCCAAAGTACCGGCTGTATCCGACGCGAGCGAACTGCGTCCTCTTTCACTTTAAATATGTGAGAGGGAGTGTGTTCTCTCTGGGGACGCCCGTGGGTTGATAAGAAAGGAGTCAAAATCCCACAGCGGAGACACAAGGATAAATTTGTTACCGTTGTACCGTTACCGCGCGACAAACCCTAGCTGGCTGAAAGTGGGGGGTCAACGTGTGCTCTGCCCTGAAAGCCCTGCCCCGAGATCGGAGGCTTGGCTGCCAGCACCCTGTTGGGTCGTTGCGTCTGATCTACCCGGCCTGCCAGGGACGCAATTGCCCCGACAGTCCTTCGACCAAAGCCCTCAACTCGGAGGCAAACCCGGCGTCGTGCGAGGAAGGGTCCACAAAAAGACCCGCAACGGGCCCCATAGGAGGAAAGCCTCCAGGGGCACAGCCTCGCTGCAGCTGGTAAAATCGGGTAAAGCACCGCCTGAAAAAAGAAACTGTGAGGATGCCCTCCAATCAGCGGGCGAGACCGAGAAAAATATCGGAACCTCCACTGTCAGGCTTCTTAGTCGACGTGCCTGTACACGAAGTACCGGTAGCCGAGTGTGAGGACTTTCCACTCATGCAAAACACGTAACTCACTTTAACCAATTTGTTTACTGGACGCGCGACCTTGCTGTGACGCGGTCAGTCTCAGCGATTTTGATGGCTCTGAAAGAAAATCTCAGGCCTCAGAACTCCAGTGAAAAAACACGCACCTTCACACAAAAACCCCGAACCCTGCATGCAGCTATGACAAAGTATCTCGGATGTGGGTTCTCTGCTGGTAAATTCTGAATATAACCACTGCACAGTCGACTCGAAACACGAGGAGACTATAAAGAAAGCGGCAGCGAGCCCTGGTGCTGTCATTACATCTATATAATGCTAAATACATTGTAAATAAAAGACGACATGCATGAGGGAAAAAAAGAAATAGGGTTGTAAAAGGTTCCGCCGCGAAACCAACCAGTGGTTACGTAGAGGCGCCGGGTTTTAATTTCTTTGTTGTGAAAAATACTACACACAAAGGGGAAAACGACATAAGGGTAAAAATGACAAGGAAAACTTGTCCTACCAGCTACAATGTCGGATGCCGTGCAGCGGCAACAACCCAAGCTAGAAACCCGGACAGAAAAAAAAAAGCAGGCGATCCAGCAGAGCTTGCTAGATTTCATCTCCACTCGAGGCGGAGAAAAAATCAGAGTGATTGACGGCTACCTATGGCGCTGCCATGTGGTCTCGATCATGTGGGTTTGTGACGTAAGGGGTAAAAGAATCTTGAGGTCATGGGGCTTCCCTTGACCTAGATTCTATCTCTCCGTCACCGGCTGAATCGCTGATTAATGCCTACAGTTCAAAATAGTCATTTTGACTGACCGGAGTCTATGGTGGGTAATTGAACATAGTGAATACGGTCGAGTACGATACAATATAAAATCAAAGAAAGCTTAGAAAGAACTCCCATGTGCTGAGAGTATTGGAGACACGTTAAAAATAATTTAAAATTACTTGTACTTGAGATATTGAAAACTGAAAACCAATTATGCAAATCAGAAAATTAATATGAACAGATTTGAGTATAAAACTAATGAGGTCTGTGCAAAGTAACAAACCATCTATGTACTAAGTTTTATTGAAATGTGATCAGGTTTGTACATTGTCCTAGAGCATCTTTGTACTAAGTTTCATTGAAATGGAATAATAGTAGCTTAGAATTGGTTAATTATACAAAGTAGGTAATTAATATACCGTAAAAACTCAATTAATTCGCGATAGTAAAAATAATTATTTATTCAAGCGTGCGAATTAATAGCGTAAAAACGGAAATTATTTGTTTTTGGTGAGCGAATTAAAAGAGTACTTTTAGATCGATTCAAAAAGGAGCTGTTTTCATAAATTTATTAGTGATTTGTTTTGTTTTCCAATGAACACGATTACAGGATGTTTTTTTAGTGCCTCTGAGACTCATGGCTAGTGACATTCATGGCGTATAGTCGGGCAGAGAACACGCACTGCGTCAAGGACCTCGCACCATGTTACACTTGAAATGAAACAGTGAAATGGCAAAGGTCACTCTGTACACAAACAAACAATGAACATGTGGCTACAAAGTAGCCGTCTGGCTGCACTGCCTTTTTTTATTTTTCTAGGCATCGCCCGGGCGATGTTATGGCAGATATTACGAAGCCCATCCTGTCTGGAAAAATAACCCTGCGTTGATAAAAATGGTCTCAGAAAATGTTTAGAAAAAATAATGTTTCGCGTTGACCAAATATAATCATGCAAAGTATAAATTCAAAGTGTTTTAATACATTGGTGAGAGGTCGCATTTTATGTGAACAAGAACATGCACTAAGCCAAAGTCGAAATGGACATGACACAACACATGCTGCGACAACTGAGTGATCAGCGACATCATTTTGGGACGCAATTGAACTTCCGGTACTTTTTTGCGAAACTTGCTGCGCGGCGATGCTGACATCAAGTGTGTGTTGACCGAAGTTTGACCCCAAGTCAGGCACTGAACTGGCGCATTACCTTAGCAACCCTTTTCTTTCATGCCCGCGTGTCAATCTAGTAAAATTGTTATTATATCCGAAGTTACTGTAATTACGCAACTTGTATGCAACTCTGTACTGGCTTTGAATATATCAACGTTGTTTACTTAGTGCACTGCTTTTCTAATTACGCAAATTTGTTTACAATATTGTACCGGCTCTGAATATTTCAACTTCGTAATGTATTGCTTTCATTAGGTTTTTTTTTAACTGTTGTTAGGGCACTGACCCGGGGTAATGGGTCTGTGATTATTTCAATATCACCGACTTGATAATGCGTTGCATTCGTAATAATTACGGAAACATAAGCATACCATATGTCAAATTAAATTTTACTATAATATAATAAACTCTGGGCAGCGCACTTCGAACGCATTATTCACGTACATTTCGACTGAAGTCTAATAACCACGCGTTTGAATTACGTGCGGCATTGGGCAATGACCTCCAGAGTTCATGCACTGATATTCAAATTCGGGCCACCCAGCTTGACGCAAATCAATTTAGTTACTTGTCATTTGTTCAAAAAGTCTTTCAACTCTCACAAATACCATGGACGTGAAGAGTTAACTGGGGGTTAAATGAAATGGAACGTCTTTCTTGAACAAAAAACACGTCAGTACAAGATTATGTGTGCAAGGTTAGATTTATAGAACGTACATGACCGCTTAACTCTGTGTTTTTTACCGAATCCGGTATAATGAAAATGTGACATGAGGTCAATCGCATAACCAATCAAAAACGTCAATTTACGCACCATAGGGCGGTTCACTTAAATGACATAATAGAATAATGGCGGACACATGGTTGATGCAACCCTGTGGACCAGCGACGAAAAAGCCCTCTACTGAGCTTTCCATCACGAAAATTTGTAATCGATGTGCTGACCGATGGATATTTATCGACTAAGTATAATCTTGCCCAACATCTGTAGTGTCGTGGGGGAATGATTTTTTCACGTCAAATCTTTCCCGAACATAAACTGCTTGCTAACTGAAAGGCTGCGATGACGGAGATCATATGCAAATTAGATAATTAATATGCATGGATTTTTTCCAAAAACTATTCAAATCTGCGCATATGTTCAGAGCATCTATGTACCAAGTTTCATCAAAATCCAATGTGTGGTTCTTTAAATAACAGTGGAACAGTCATGGAACAGTCATGGAACAGCCAAAAATTAGCTAATTATCATGCAAATTAGGTAATTAATATGCATGGATTTTACCAAAACCTAATCAAATCTGCGCATTGGCCCAGAACATCTATGCACCAAGTTTTATCAAAAACCGATGTATGGTTCTTGAGATAGCAGTGGAACAGACGGACACACACACATCAAACTAACTGCAAAGACTCCCATTGTGTGCTTCGCACATGGGAGTCAAATACCAAAAAAACTAAGAAGAAGTCAAATAACAGTGTATTTGTACACTCATTCTATAGAGTAATAGTTCTAGGTTCTCACTGAGTACAACAGAAATATACTAACCTGCCCCACATATAAGAACATTAGATCCTAGTCCTACGTTTCCTCTACTGCAACTATATACTGCAACAGACAAGGGTTCTATCAGAGCGCCCTCTTCTAAACTCACATTAGGTGGCAATCTACAAATAACCCATTGAATAATAAATTCTAAGACAATGTTCATCATAAATTCAGTACTGTGTAACAATAAAATTAAAGAAGGAATTTAAACAAGCAGCCTATCGG